TCTTTTTGGTTTTGAAAGGGTTTGGATTATTCACAGCAAATAACCAAACTTATCACAGCAATTGTTATGCACTAAGGCTGTAGTAAAACCATAAATGAAGAGCAAAGATTACTCTATAGACATGGATAATATTATCATTACATAGTCTGCTCACATATACACTGGCAAAAACATGTTTCTCACAATACAAATATCTACAAAATATTCATAATTCATTGGGATTTCTCAACGAGATCTCCCTTTCTGCTGCATCCAGACTCGCGCAGCTAAGAGAATATTATTTGCATTTTTTTTGTACCATTCTCTATTGTACTCTTGATGTATTACCCTGTGGTCATCGAGGAACTGTTTGTAGAACACGGCCATTTCATCAGCTGAGAGAGTCCTGCGTTCAGTTGCCTGGCTGCCGTACTTCTCCTTTAGCCGCATCTGTACGAATTCTTCCTTCATCTAGTGCGAATGAAGAGAAAAAAAGTGAAATATCGAGAGATCAAAGTGTTTTAAGTGAATTAGTTTTTGGTTTAGTAAACGAATGAAAACTGTTGCTGCCGATTTAGCCTCCATTCCTAAAGAAGATAAAAGGTGAAATGAAAAAAAGAGATTATAGTGTCTCCAGTGAATCCGTTTTTGGTTTAGCAAATGATTGTCACTGCTAATTCAGCTTCCAATCCTGTTTTCATATCCCGAATATCAACTATACACACACATTCATGGGTATAAAGAACATGAACATGCTCTATACATATTACAAAATGAAGACATTATATTAGATATTGAAAAGTTCATTGAAACTATAGCATTTTAAGCAGGGAATTTTTTAGCTAAGAATCTCAAGATTTCTTTATTGCTATTCAATATACATATATATATTATATATATATATATATATACTATATATATATATATATATATATATATATATATTATATATATATATATATACATATATAATATATATATATAAATATAAACATAAATATAAATATAAATATAATATATATATATATATATATATTATATATATATATATATATATATATATATATAATATATTATATATATTATATATATATTATATATATATATATATATATATATATACATACATTGATTTTCTTTCTTTCTTTCTTTCTTTTTTTACAGGAAGGAAACCCATTATGCTATACTTTAGAAAAATAAAACTATATTGACTGTTTTACAATGAATTAACCCATTTACGCTGAGAGCAAAATACATGGAACAACTACTGTGTTATTAGTTTTACATACATAAGCCTAGTCACCATAGAGTGAATTACAAGTCTGAACGAATCTCAACTGTTTAAACATTTCCCTTGACTTTTATATTCATAATTTTTCCTTTCATTGCTGTTAGTATGGTTATAATAATAAAAATATGATGATAATGATGATGATTGATGATAACATTATAATAATGATAACAATAACAATAATAATAATATTAACAAAAAATAATGACAATGATAATCACAAATAAACAACAACAATAATAATAATAACAATAATAATAAATTAATAATAATAATAATAATAATAATAATAATAATAATGATTATAACAATAATAAAAATAATATAATAATAAACAACAATAATAATAATATACAATAATAACAATAATAACATAAAATAATAATAATAATAATAATAACAATAATAATAACAACAAAAATAACAATAATACTAATACTAATATTCATACTACTACTAATAGTTATGATGTTAAAAGCATTAAAAAACAAAACTTCTTTCCTAAAAATTCACAGAATGAGGAAATCAGTCGAGGTCTGGTAGGACTATTTTACTCATTTATTTGTAGGCTTTTGTATAGTGACCTATATAAGAAGAAAATTTATAAACTAAAACCACAGTGGATATGACACGTACATTTGCCCTCCCAGCGTTAATAGGTTAACGGCTACTAGGTGACTTGTTGGTGACGAAGCATTTGTAGAACAATTTAGGCGTAAAGACAATTAATAAATTAAAATTACATTGGATATGGTATGTAGATTTCCCTCTAAGCACCAGCTTCTTAAAATCCTTCTTGTTAAAACGGCTCTCTTGCTAATTCTCCAAAATTTAATATACCAAAATTTAAAAACGTATAGAATATGCATATTCCAGCAACTCCGTAGAAAAATAAGTCTACAAAAAAGTTGATTAGAACAAGAATGTCAATAAAACTGGCAATTATAATAAGAACAGAATGAGGAGCAGGCGGCAACAATAGCTTACTTACCTGTTTGAATTTAGAATTATGAGAAGCCCAAAAGGTTTGGTTCCAGTCCTGTGTTGCTTCCCTCGCTTCTCTGTACCGCTGTTCCAGAGGCGTTTCGTTGGGTGGGATGTAGTACCTGACTTTTCGAAGGTTTGACCCCCGATCAGGAGGACCAATGCAGTCACATTTGACGTCTTGTGGGTTAACTCCCAGACTGTTTGTAACTTTGCTTTGATTCTGCAATGGGAAGATCGTAAGGA